AGCGATATAGTGTAGACGTGGGTAGTTTTTGTAAATTCCTTGTTTTCTCTGTTAAAGCCTAAATGTGTCCCCATTGTATGCGCTTAACTTACATGAGCGTCAACTGGACAAATTAGCTGGACATGTTGTTGGAACATTGCTAGCGTTGTTAGGAGTATTTTAGTAGCAAGCGTGTATTTTCCAGCTACTTCCTTTCGTTTTTCATGCCAATTTTTGGTTTATGTCAAATTTTCATTTGTGTTAGATTGCAGAATATATTTGCACACAYATTTGCCTGTTAATAATGTACTTGTAAACCGGGTKTTCTAATAGGAATGATATGATTTTTAAGCTTTTTGTTTTATTCAGTGATGTTTACAATTTCATCATGATAAGAAGAAATGCGCAATTTTTCGAATCCTAGCCGTTCTCAAGAATTGGGAATGTCTCAACGACGGGGATACGTGCCACACAGCACGTTCAACAACCAAATTATTGAGGGAAAAGTCAGGAGATTTGAATATTTCAAGATTGATATAAGAAATTGCGACATTGTATGGCCTACAAGAAGTCGAGATTTAACAACATTAGACTATTTCTTGGGGTGTTATTTGCAGTCGTTGGTTCTTTGGAATAAACCAGACCAGTTTTAAAAGTCAATATTGAACGTTCAATTCATGATATGCGATTAGATTTAGTTTCCCACTAAATAAAAAACAATTGAATTTTCTTAACGATTAGATTGTTTTTTAGTTTTTTTTTTTTTAAGAAATCGTATCACTCTTATTGGAAAGTCCTATTCATATTAAAGTGGCTGAGCAAGTGCCATATAATATTTGAAACATTTATTTTCAACAATTTGATAAAAATGTCCGCTTGCTTGCACCACGCCCACTTTCCATATAAGACAATTAGAAACTAGAAATCATATAACCGATATAGTGGGATAAAACTTCGCATGAATAATCACCTTAGAGTATGCCAACTTATGACCCAAACTTGTCCAAATCCAACAAAAACTGTTCACGCCCTTAGGTACTGGATATAGATTCTGGGGACTATTGTTGACTTTTGAACTCAGATATTGGTCAATGTGTGAGATATAATATTGAAATTCTGGGATAATTTTTTCGTGACATGTTCGAATCGTCGATCTTTGTGTTAGAACAACTGAAATGTGTAAACCGAGAATAAAAAAAGAAGTCTGAAACTTTCGGTTTTAAAATAAAAATATGCCAGTCAATTTCCCCTTACCATGTAGAACTCAAACTTTTATGAATTTCAAAGGCATWTTAATTGATATAAGAAATTTCAAATTTTACACGTCTTAAAAGTATTTCATACACTTAGATGAAGTAAGTCTAATGTTAAGCGACATTTCATAGTTATGACAACATTTGTGAAAGCCATCGCACTTATTTCAAATGACCATTTCTTCCTTGGACTTCCGCAGAGCTAACTTTACAATACATTCATATATAATAATGTATGTATTCTTCACTTCATTACATTTTATTGCGAAAATAATTTGAGCAACTCACCCTCACATACGTGGCTCGCACACATACACGCGCACTTTCCCGAAAACTTCCGTTTCAGAAATGTGTCGAAATGCCAAAAGCCATGCTGGCACTTGGAGCGTCAAAGTCGCCTCTTTCCGCCACATTTACGCCAAAATTGTTGCCTTCATTGCCTACTTGCCTACTTGCCAATGGTGTGTGWGTAGTGTGGCAGCTGTTGCCTGGAATTGCTAAGTGCATTTCGGGTTATAGTGAATTGTGTTTAGTTAGTTTTAAATTAGTTTACGAACACTTGACCGTTAGTTGAGTGGAATGCGGTTTGAGGCCAAGTCACTTTGCCACTCAGTCCGTTAGTGGTTAGTTAGTTTACACTTGAATTTACACACCCATACACACGTTCATATATTCATGTCATTTTAATGGCAATTTGACTTACGAAATTAAAACTTTAAATATTTATGTAAATGCGACTATTTTTGATGTATTCGTTTGCATGTTTATGCAGACATATGGATACACATTGTCAGTACTAATTTTGTTGGAAAGACAATCGTGAGATTCTTCCATTTACGTAACGCTGATGGCGTAACTCTTTAGAAACGTTTTAATGTATGGCATACACAAAACAACTTCTTACTAAGTCTCATCACTGTTACTGTCCATGCTTACTTATTTAGTGTAAAAGAAATAGCACAATTTAACTATATTTTTCGCCCAAAATTGTGTTTGAAAAAACCTAAATTTTGTTAGAAAATAAATTAAAACATTAAAATTAAATTATTTTGATTAAATTTTTAAAAATGTAATTTAAAGAGTCTAGTTTATCGAAAATGAAGATAGTACAAAACTWCAGGCTCCATTAATCAAGTTTATATGCGCATTTTATAAGATCTCCCGTTTCCTTCAGCTTGTAGCAAACTTCGTGGTAGACTTAATTTGCCTTGTTCGGGGTTCAAAAATAAATAATCTTGAAAGTTAGYAATTAAACTTTCCTACTTCGATTTCAATGATTTGTCTACTTAAAATTTCCAAAACCAAACTTCAGCTCAAGCCTGTATACAACATCCGAAATTACTACATAAAATTGTCGAGAAAGCGAAACGAGCGAAGCCACTGTATTTGTAATTCCAGAAATCAATACTGAACTAACTGTGCACCGTTTTATACAAATATTGTGACAAACTGTCTATTATTGATATCCTCAATGGCAGCTTGACTGCGATTCCAGTATGCCTTGAGGATAATCGAAATCGACAGCGTCAACACTGCAGTCAAAGTCTTTTAATTGTTATGCCAATTGCTTAGGTTGAAGAAGAAAGACGAGTAAAACAAAAATAACAAAGTTCAAACTCAAGTCAACTGCAATGGAACGAAATGCAGCTCGAGAAATCTGTAACGACCGAGCAGCCAGCGAGAAAGCAATGAAATTTGAAATTTTCGGAAATTTAACGTCAAGTCACAATGCGACTGAGATTCGGACGGCAACAACTCTATAAATTGACAGCGACAACTCAATTGGGTGGCAATTCGAATGAAACAAAATACCGGCAGGCGACACACTACATATACGCCAGCAAAGAGGCGAACAGGGCAAGGCAAGACAATGTGTCATCGAGCAAAAAAAAAATGTATGAAATTGTATGTATGTGCGAGAGTGTATTCTGGTGAGACGGACTACGAATTTCAATTCGAAATAGAAATTGGTAAACGTGACGGAAAGTGGATGGGTGATAGATAGATCGACAGATAACGGAGTGCTGGCGAGMGGTCAAAGAGGCAAGTGACTGCATATTTGAATGCGAAGAGCAAACAAAAGCCAGACTTTGGCCGTCCGGCCAGCTTTTGAGCAGCAGAAAAGACAACCACCCTTGCAGCAGGCTTTTTAAAGTCTTTATTTATGCTGTATGTGTATGAGTGTCTCTGCAATGAACGGTAGTTGGTAAGATGAGCGCATACATTTTAGCAATCATTGTGGAGTGCGAGCTTTAGATGCTTGCAAGGCAGCGCCCGTATGTGTGTATGTGTGTATGTGTGTCTGTTGTTGACCTTTGTCTTCAATCCGGGCGTGAAGGCTAATAATTGAGCACGTAATTGAAACGCTTGACAGCGCTGGTGCGCTTTTAGTTAAAGCCAGAGAACACAGCCAAAACAAAAGAGTTGCGAAATCAAGAGCAAACGAGAAGACGAAGCGAAACACAAACGCATTGGACACTGTATTCAGTGCGCGTATTGTTGCATGCCACAGGTTGAATGCATTGAACTGTGTACAAGGCGTATACGTTCATTCGCTTGAAAGTCAGGGAAATGCAGTTTACGAAATTTAGAATGAAAGCGCATACCCTTTATGACAACAGGAAGTATGAAGAACATTCAGAAGAAATCGGTTTTGTACATAAGCTGCTTAAGGTAGTGGGAAATGGGCACGAAAACGTGAGCTTTTGGATGTTTACGTGATGATGGTTATTAGTTTATGAAAAGCTATTTTTAAACTGCATATAATTAGAATTGAAAACATGTCGTCTTGCACTTTTAGAATCTGAAATATTTGAAATCCTTTTTCGAAATTATTTCGAAATTTATAATTACCAGTCTCACATAACATCTGATCAAATATGATCCGGTCAACGAGTTGATCGCAATCTTTCTTCCGGATCAACTCAACTCATTTCGCTTAATGTTTTGGATATGAAGCATATCACTGTTAGACTTCGACCAAACTACGTGAAGCTCTTGCACAAACGACGTAGAGTGSAGGTGGAAAGATATAATTGACAACGTAGCTGAGAACTTTACACTCCTCGAAAACATCATTAGTATTGACGAGGCATTATTTTTTAATAAGACGTCGAAACTGTCTAACAATCTAGAGAATGGCGCTTCAGAGACATGTCGACACCGGAAAAACTAAGTATAACCAATGCTTATAATAACTACTTTGAAAATGGATATGAGCCTTGGTCTACTTTGAATGCAATTATAAATATTTGTATTAAGTCAGTCCGTGTCAAATATGATCAGATAATATTTGTATGGTGTACTCCGCTCAACACTTTCTCCGTGCAGCAAAGCTTAGTCTCAGCTTGCAGAACCATCATATCCAAGCAATTAACTTAAGCGTGTCAGAGGGTTCTAAAACAAAATTTCAGATAGAAAAATATGAGTCAGCCAATTTAGTGTTGAAGGGTATACAACTGAGTACCAATGCTATAAAATTGGCAATATTTTGCGCTTCACTCCTTCGAAACCAACATTTTTGGTCACAATGCATCGGAGCTGACGAACTGCTAAGCAATTTTCAGCTTGTCAATCAAACAGTGTTTCTTCTATTTGTAYTCGAATGTGCTTTGCATTGCCTAGCAGGCAGCACATTGTATTGTTCTTGCGAAAATGATTTCTTCCATTGTTGCGCCCACATATCTGCATATGGGCTTAGTACGACCGAAGCAATCGAACACTTGTAACATTATTAACATTTCTCTTTCCTCTCGTTTGTCATTGCAGATAATAACTTCGTTTGCGACTGTCGTCTTCAATGGCTTTTTGAGCTCAAAAATCGTACGCGCTACACAGCATTGCGTGAGGCACTCGAGACTTTCGTCTGCACACTGCATGATCCGAAAATTTCCAACTTTGTTGAGCCCGTACCAAATCACATTTTAGATCTGCTCAACATTGGCAGCAGTTACAATGGCGCCAACAGCGCCGAACTACATCTCGTTGGCAACAATAGCGGCCGCAAGCGCTTCTCCAAGTCACGACAAAATGGCGGCACACAGCGCGGTGGCGGCGGCAACGGACAACGTCTAGGACAAATGCAGCTAAACGCCGATGAGAATGTTGATGTGATCGATGCCGTCGCTGTTGCACTGACACCCGAGCGCACTGAACACGTGCTGTCGCTAAGCAAGCGCTCGTTAGCCGACGGTGGTGAGCTCACTGTTGTCGCCAGCAGTCAGCCGGAAGTGTACAATGACGCACTGTTGGCTGCCTCAGGTATACCAGACGTCGCCACCGCTAATATTGTTGGTGAGAAGAAGAAGAAATCCGTATTACCCGCAAAACTAAGAGATGACTACTACGACGAAGCAGCTGGTTTAGGTGGAAGCGCTGCTGCGCCGCATGGCCTGCTGCTGGCACAACAAATCGAACTGGGCGAAGGCTTGGATGCGCTCAAACAGAATGCTTTGTACAATCAGCAAACTAACGATGTGATTGGCATGACCAATACAATCAACGAGCATGGCGCTAGCAAGCCACAGCCGCTGGGCATCAAGGTGTGTCTGTTCTTGTTGAAACCCGAGCGTCTGCCGTGTCACGACGAGCTCAGCGATCCGACAGAGTTGCCATTGTCGCGCGATCTCATGGATGTGCGCAGCAATCAGGCGCAGAGCAACATGTCTTCGGCCGGTAACGCTCTGTCAATGGCCACAACGACCCTGGTGGGYGTGGCGGCGATAATGTTGCGCTTCAGCAGCAGACGACGTATCGGTTAAACAGCAATGAAAGCACGCGGGTATAATGGGTAACAGTAATTCTATTAAAATATGTGTCTGCGTTTAAGAATACTGCGAAAATATTTGTGTGTAGACAATTGCCAATATGGGAAATACAGTGGTAATTTGCAACAATAATTTGTAAACTAATTATTTATTTAATAATTTTTCTTTTACTGTTTTGAAGCGAATTGAAAAATTCTAATTAAAATTTTGGTAACGATTTTTAGGTGYTTTTGTATTTACAAATAATTTGTAATAATACACACACACATACTTAGATACACGTGTCAGCGTATTTAAAGTGAAATGATCTCTTGCGTGCGCCAACGCATTTGAAAGCCTAAACACAGAACTTTTAGCGAACACTGTACATATTAAAAAACCATTAAACACAAGCGAAAAATCTTAAAATGGAAAAAATTACAAAAAAAAAAAAAAAAAAAAACATTTTAATGCCTACTTGAACAGCTCCTGGCGGCCAGCTTAAGCAAACTGGCATAAAACTGGGCGTACATAATTTGTAGTTAGCTTATGATTGTATATAACAATAAAAATAAAAATGAAACAAAATAAAGCAAGAAAAATAATATTTAATGAATAAACGAAACGAAGCTGTAATGTTCATAAACAAAATATTATTAAGCAGCTTAAGAATAAACGCTTAAGTTTGAACACAAAAACCATAAGAAAACTTGAAGACGAGCTTCAATTAACTCTATGCTTTTTTTGGTATAAGAATCTTACAAAGGCACATAAGAAAAAAATGARATTTAAATATACTTTATATTATAATTAAGGATAAGGTGTAGCATTAAGAGCAAATGGTAAAGCACTTAGCTTTAAGCAACTCAAAATGAATTCTTTCGCCTGTCAGGCGGCGACAGTTAAAAATTAAAAATAGGAATTAGCGCCTAATGAGAGAATGAAAAACTTAAATCACTTACATGTACATCTAGTATATTGCTACATAAATGGTAATTGTATTTATACAAAGCTAATCAGTTAAGAGTAAAAATAATTAAAGCACTAAAATTTATCAAATACGCAGCTTATTTTGCAGCTAACATTTTTTATTGAAAACATTCTGTGTTCATCTAAAATTTTATTCCTAATTTATTAATATTTATTTGGTTTTTGATATCAACAATTTTTTAATTGGGTATTTTTCCATGTTATTGCAAACATTTAAACAAATTTAATAATGATAATGAGTTTACAATTACGCCGCTAAACTGAGCTAAAATACCTMTAATTAAAAATTGTCTGCTTACCTCAATTTGGTATTCCTATATAAAACCTATATTGTCCTATATTGTACCTTTTTCYTAAATATTTGTTTGTACTTTTCTAATTCCCAAATTTAGCTTAATTTCGCTAATTAGTTTTAAGTACATAAAATAACTGAAGAACAACGATTTGTGCTTGCTTTATTTCTTTAATAAAAAATTACAAAAATTTTAAATAACGAGACTATTTATTSATAATTTATCAGGTTCTTCAAAATTGTTTTAACTTCAGCAAAATCAGAGMTATTTAGTAGGGTACCACTAGTAGCAAAAGAAAAAATGATAAAACTCCAAAAAATATAAAAAAACCAATATTTCCTCTCTTTTTTATTTATTTAAGCTAAAAGTTCTTCTCAACTTAAAAAGATATTATTACTTAAAAGTATTATTATAGTAGATATTTTTAGTTAATTTCCTTTAAAAGAGCTAGGCTGAAAATGGTAGCATGCGTTAACAGCATTTATTTCAGCTTTGCGCCGAAAAGTAGGCAACATTTGCATGATATTGCGCAATTATCTCATTTTTCACTGCTACTCGCTTTATTTGATTAAAGCAATTTTGGTGAGTATGACATATGTAAAAATGTCTGTTTTTATCACTCCTTGGATTAGAATGATAAACTCYTTCCCCATCTGAATTTACGATTCCAACCAAACCTGAAATAAGGAAATTAGTCATTGCAATCTTCGTAGCATAAAAAGGTTGCCAAAAATAGGAACTTACAATTATTTCATTGGTGTTGGACTTCATTTTAAACCTAATACCAGAACACACGATGTGAAGAATTGCCTTTTGTGACGTTTTTTCTACCTTAACTAGAGGAAAAGCTATACAAAAAGTAATCATTTGTCTTTCATTCTCTTGCCGATAAATAGTTRTTATGTTTTCCGGGCTAAGCGTGATACTCATTGATTTAGCATAGACCTTATAAAATCACCCATATAAGGCAAAGGATTCTGCTATAGARAAAGGTACTGGACAATTTAAATATAAGAGCTTATACTGTGACAAAAAATTGGAAATCTTCCAGCCAACTGAATGATTTTGTCATTACAAATGCTATTAATTTGCTAGCTTTGAAAAACAAACATACTTGTATTGAAAGTGAATATCTCTTTCACATCAAAAGTACTGTTTTATTAATTTTAAAATCTTTTCAAACGAAATTTAAAGTTTTTCGATAATTTCCAAGCTATCAAAGGTCAACTTATGTACTTACAGAAAATTAAAAAAAAAAATTGATTTATTTATTCAAATGTTTTACTTCGCAAAARCAAAAAACATAAAAAATATTAAAGTTTCTGATTTAATTGACGTTTTTAATGCGCTTTATGAAATCCCACTGTAAATAAATATAAAATATCGCTTTCTAAAAAGCACAAATCATTTTCAATAGAATATTAAAACTCGGTTAAAAATAATTATATATATATGTAAATATGCATTTCATTCGGCTCGGTCGAGCGAACTGAATTTCACCGCCAGAATTGAAGAAACTTACACAAGAACACATGCGAGTTCTAAGTGTGAAAAAACATTTAATTGAAATATTTATATAAACACAATAATTGCTAAAACTCTTAAAATACATTTSCTGGCATGTCACACTAACAAATARACACACACACGCACAAAATTGTGTGAATTTACAAAGCAAAAAACCTCCGATGCACTGGTGTTTCATTTTCAACTACAAAAAACCACAAAGCGAATGGACAAATTAAAACTAAATAAATAATAAATGAAAGAAATGAATGGCCGAAGTCATAAAAAGCGAAACTGGAAATAAATAAAGAGTATATTAGCGCTAAAATGGAAAATAGCTAAACAGAATTGTGTAAAAATGTTTTTATATTGCTGCTGCTAAAAAATGTGGCAACTTTCAGAYGCGTCGTAGTGGTTGCAGAATTCACAATGACATAAAAAATATACAAATAACATTGAACTTGTTAATTTTTCTCAATAAAATTTCTTTTTCTGCTCTTGTTTTCGTAATTTATGTGTATTTTTGTAAATATTGTTTTTTATATTTTGGTCGGTTTCGCCATTGATTTACAATGAACTCAACTATACATTTTAGTTTTCGGATAAATATTATTTTTAAAACTCCTGATTCATATATAATATATATAAATATTCTGTATTTTTATCATATTGAGATGTCTTTGAAGTGTGCTTATTAGTTCTTATCCCATAAAAATGTATTGGAGGCAATATTCCTAGTGATTGTTTATCACTTTCAGTAAATTTTCAAAAACCTTTTGTGATATGCGTTTAATCATCGAATAATAATTTTAATAATGCAATAGAATTTGAAAAATATCGCATATTGACTATTTTTACTATATTTCTTAGCAGCATTCGCCACACWTCAAATATATTATGAAAGTAATGCCTAAACACAGGCCTTAGTTTTAGGATATATGGTCAACTTGGCAAATTAGTTTTCCCAAGAGTTTTTCAACTGATGTAATGAACAATGTAATCTTCTGGTAAATTTTTAGTAATAGTGTCTTTAATTTATTCTACTGATCTGGCAAAAGTAAAAGGACATTCGAAGAGGAAGTACYGAGATGAGTGTTTTGCATCAAGATGTCCAATCTTACCGCATGAATAGCGATCGAATGGTATTCAGTCAAAATTCCTGTAACTAATGAAAGGAGAACCAGCTGAGATCAATTTTCGAGATCATTTCAAAATTCTATAAAAAACAGTTTTATGTTATTTATACTATTACTGTTAATCAATATTCTTTATGTCTTCTAATTATCTTCTTACATTAAAATTCAATTTATAAAAAATACATTTTGAAACAAACCTAATTTGACCAAAACCTCTATGCCTTGACTTTATCAACTACCATAGATGCTTAAGAGATGGCCACATAAACGACGCGCTTGTAATATATACATGAATATATGTATACATGATATTTGTAAGTATTATATATTAAGTATATGTAAATTGCCATGAATATTGTAAACTCTAAAGCGCAGTTAGAGACTCGTAGGGTTAGTGGTAGTTCACTAGGAAAACTGAAACAGGCAAAAACACATTGTAAGCATTCGATTCTCGCAAAAATAGTGAGCGGAATTGAAAGTGCTTAAAAGAATTGTATAAATTTGCTGCTTAAATTTTTTAAAGATTAGAAATTTTATTTTTAGTAATTAATAAATTCTTTTTTTTTTCAGAATAAATTTTTTATTTATAATTTGTATTTTTGCAATTCCAAATAGATTCTAAGCAAGTGTGAGTGCAAATGAGGACACAATCACACTTTCTTCATTCCAGCCACTTTTGTTTTTCTTGCTTGATTAATGTTCATCAACATTTTTCGTTTGAGTTAATATTTAGTTTAGTAATTGCGAAACTTTTTTAGTAGCCTAAGACTGATAATGCGATAATGTATAAAGAAAAAAGAACTAAAACAAAAAAGTATTTAATAGTAATATTAGGTCTACGAAATAGTAATGATTAGTAATGGGGAAAGCTAAAGCCATTAAAGCAGAGGATATATGCAACAAATATATGTGGATTTGCATATTTGAATTTAGTCACAAGTACATAGATATATCCGTAAGTAAATGTAGAAAGAACTGTCAAGTGTCAATATGAAAATTTCATATTTATAAATCACAATAATAGAAATGCAGAGCATAATACTTGTAAAAACGGTAATAAATGTGAGATCGATGAGAAGCTACAAGCAGCAGCTAGAAACATACATGCATGTATATGTATATAAGAACACTCAGTTGTAGATACCTAAAATGCATTTTAAAGAAAACTTAATTGGAATATTAAAAAATAATAACAACTTTGGGGGACAAAACATAGTTCTTACTTATATATAAGGCCTTTCCATAAAATATTTGTGAGCAAGCGTTGAGCACAAGAGTTTTTAAAAGTCTTCAGTTTCTTGCCGTTTAAAATTTAATATATTTTCAAACAGAATAAAAAAAAAAAAAAAAAAATAGAAAATAATGCAAAATGAATTGTTTTCATCACTTTATTTGCTTATAMAAAATATTTGAAAGCGTATTGCACTGTTCAATAGTACTCAACTAACTTCAAAACTATATAGAGTTAAAAAGCATTAAGTTTTGCTGGGCGAATAGCAAATAATACTACTTTTAGCTGACAATCAAGGAGCTGAAGACACAGGAAGTATGGTGTAAGCATTTTTTTGAGCTCATACACTGACTCGCATAATTCATTCATAGCACAGACCAGCGTTAACTATATAATACACTATTAGCAAGTTCTTAACTCCATAATACAACAACAAAAGTGCTCACGTTAATTTCAAKAACTAAATTATAATATTATTTTATAAAAAAATGTTAAAATTCAGTG